ATGAATTTGCTGACTAAGATTATTGTTCTTGTTGCTTATATCGCGCCAGGTAAAAGATTTCCACAGACTAAAAGACCAAACAAAAAATCCAACGACAGTACAGATGCAACAGGGCAAATCATCTTTGGTAACATTAATTCTGAACCACCAACTGCAGTCCAATCAGAATCGATGACGAATACAGACGAAACAGTCCATGGGCATTACGCAGAACTTACGAGTAACTCTGTCAAGATGTCATCACTACAGAACTACGAGCATCTTGATCCCACCTGCCGCGAGCAGCACCGCACAAAAGRCTTCCAAACGTTTGGCACTCACCAGCAAAGCAAGTACGAACAGCTTCACTTAGGCACTTCTTTGTCAGCTTATCAAAGACTACGCCTCAAATACGAAGACATTAAAAACTGAGTAATGAAGAAATACAAGGCAAGATAGTCAGACTTCACTATTATAGACCTGTATATGCCAATGGCATRAAACTTGTAGCATAAGGTGTAGAACGCCAACACATATTAACACATGGTAGTGTAAGAAGGCCAGAAGAACATCTGATTTGTACTGTACAAGAAGTCTAAGATTTCACTTAGGTTTCTATGGTAACTATTTAGCCTTAAGGACGAAGTAATTATTCGAACAAAAGATTTAGGTTTGTTGACCTTGTAAAACACCTTCCTAACAAAGGTCAGTAATTGAATTCTATACACCGGATGATGAAAGGTTCTTCTTATTTACTCAATAATCTGGACTTGGACCTTTTGACTTTCAGCTGTTCATGAAACTAGTTTAGTAAGACTTGCGCAGAAAAGACTTCCTAAGGACACGTATATTTTTGGCGTTCTTCATTATAGTTGTTTACTCGTAAACTTTTAGTTAAGAATTATTCCCTTATTTTTGGTATAAACTTTGGTTTACTTAGAATAGTATGTTTTAACTTAGAAACACAAGCGACCGTCATCGACGCTTTATTCAGTTAATCCTTTTCTAAAGACTATTTTAAGATTAAGGTTCTTAGGTCAATGAGGCCAATATTCTAATTTATTCCTGTAACTCAGTACTTTCACTGGAAACCAGACTCAAACCAGTTTCTATAATTAATTCTACAATTATGCTAATTTTCTCTATAAATATGCGTAGACTTTTCCATCTAAGCATGATGATGATGAAGTTAGTCGTTAGACGTGAAAAAGTCTTGTAACTACTAGTATTTGTGAGCGTCAATAAAGATCCCGTGGAAACTCTAACCATAGTCTCCCCGACTTCACGACAGTAGCTAGGATTTATCAGTAGCTAGGATTTATCTCCTACAGCTTAGTGCGTAGCATGTACCTTCTCATATCTCAAGGTCCAATAAAAAGAGCATAAAGTAAACTAA